AGCAAGAGCTAACACTATGGAAGGTTATGACACCGGAGTAATGGGCAGCGTGCTCGCGCTCAAAGCTTTCAAACAGGACTTCGGCTTGCCAACAGACTCGTCTGGATTCTCCGACTCGAAAAATGCATCGGTATCGTCGAACGTCGTATCGCTTCTTACTGCAGGTTGCTTTTTCGGTGCCATCGGGGCCGCTTGGATCAACGAACGGTTCGGTCGACGATTGTCTCTTATGGGCTTCTCCCTCGTCTTCCTTATCGGTGCCGCAATCCAGACTGCCGCTCATCATGAGATTGGCGTGATCTACGCAGGTCGCGTCATCGCAGGGCTCGGTATTGGAGGTATGTCATCCATTACCCCGGTCTTCGTCTCGGAAAATGCCCCTCCAGCTCTTCGAGGACGTATCGCTGGTCTCTTCCAGGAGTTCCTGGTCATTGGTAGCACTTTTGCGTACTGGCTAGATTACGGTGTTGCGCTCCACATGCCCACGTCAACGAAGCAATGGAGAGTGCCCGTATCGATTCAACTCATCCCAGGTGGTTTCATGTTGATCGGACTTTTCTTCCTCAAGGAGTCTCCGCGGTGGCTGATGTCAAAGGGTCGACAAGAGGAAGCTGCGCAATCGCTTGCGTTCATTCGCTGCGAGCAACCCGATAGCGCTGAGCTCCAAAAGGAGCTGGCTGAGATTCGCGCTGCAGTCGAGGAGGAGTTGAACCAGACTGAGGGCATAACGTGGAAGGAGGTTCTCCTTCCAGGCAACCGATACCGATTCATCACTGGTTTCGTGTTGATGTTCTGGCAGCAGTTCAGCGGAACAAACTCAATCGGTAAGATGAAGTTCTTTAGAGCTGAACTTCGCCATCTGACCCTCCTTCAGGCTACTACGCTCCTCAAATCTTCCAGACCATTGGTGTATCAGCAGCTAACGCTTCGCTGTTCGCAACGGGTATTTATGGCACAGTCAAAGTCATCACGACTGGAATCTTCTTGATCGTTGGTATCGACTTCATTGGCCGGAAGTACTCGCTCATGGCTGGCGCGGCATGGATGGCGTCCATGATGTTCATCATCGGCGCTGTTCTTGCTACGAACCCACCAAACCCAGATTCTGGATCAGTCTCGTCCGCCTCCATCGCCATGGTCGCCATGATCTACCTTTATGTCATCGGCTACTCGGCTTCTTGGGGTCCCGTCCCATGGGTTTACCTTGGGGAGATCTTCCCAACCCGACTTCGTTCGTATGGTGTGGGAATGGGAGCAGCAACACAATGGCTCTTCAATTTCGTCATTACGAAGATTACACCCGCTGCAATCAACTCCATCGGGTAAGACAATGACTCTGCAAACTGCATACAAGACATGCACTGACATCGTCCTTTGCAGGTGGAAAACATTCCTCATGTTCGGCATCTTTTGTCTTTCCATGGGTATCTTTGCTACATTTTTCATCAAAGAGACGAAAGGAAAGACACTTGAGGAGATTGACATCCTGTTCGGTGACGTGTCGGCTGATCAGCGTCGCCAGGATGTCGAGGCGGGTATGAAGGAGGAGCAGCGAAAGCACTCGGTGAAGTACATGGAGGATGCTACAGAGCTAGATGATAGGGCGGGCAAGGACTGAGCAATGCTTGCAGATCGATACCGAGGATTGCGCCGTTCTGTAGATTGATGAACATGTTCAGCAGACAATGGCGAAACTTGGCGACAAGCTGTAGCCGGACTCAACCTAAGAGTCTTTTTGCCTGGGTTTGACGTGCGCATCAATCGCGTATCTCTATCAAGACGGGAAGACGATAAGCCATTTGATATGCCGGATGTTGATGCGATGGGGGACGATTAGACCGTTTTGGGATGCGGAACAGGTGGGGGCTTGGTCAATACCCAAAGGGGCTAGCGTTGTTATCACAGGGGCAATTGCAAGAGGCCTCCGACATTTCGACGCGGTCCTTCGTCTTCGCATCACGACCAGCACGATTTTCATCAAACCATGGGTGCTGCATCACTTTCGAACATGCTGCCATCATTCTCGCTTCCATATCGACATCCATTTGCATCATGTGTCCCACAAGGCGATTCTGTACGCCCAGTGTGGGGAGACCCCGAAGTCAGCTTTCACGCGTTCAAAGGCTCTTATCGCAGGTTTAGTTCATTCTGATTCGCTTGTTACGACCAACAGGAAGACTCAGTATGCAGCTTCGCAGCCCTCAGCATCGACCGTTTACCATGATGTCGGAACCACTGTATGATTACGGACGCCACAAAAGCCTCACAACCTTCGCGATATGCGCGACGTATTGATCACACGAGATGCACCGCGAAACCAGACCGGGTAAAGCTACATGGCTGCATGCTGACTGCGCGCCCGATATGGCAACACGTCTGGGCCGGCCCGTATCGTATGGCCAAGACGAGAACTGGGCCGCATCGTATGAGGAGTACGAGTCAACAGATGGGGATACAGTCCTTGCACCACCCCGGAACTCAGACTATCATCAGCCTGGATGTATGTGGGGCATTTCATGGGCAGTAGAGAAGAGGGGTGTCGCCAGTGCTGTTACCAGAAGCTTGTATAAGGCACCAGCATGATAGCCTCCAAGAGAGCAAGCTTCGTCGTCGAAGCTTTTAGACATCATTAATCTCAATTCCGTGTTCGCGCTTCACAGAATGGTCTTCGGGTTCTCGCTTCTTTCAACCCTTCTTGCTGCGCAAGCTGCCTATGCGTACAACTTCCCATATGAGGGTATACAGCTGACGGACTCGGATGTGGGGACCAACCCTGACTTGGCTTTCGGTAAAGCAAACACGAGCAACATACCTTCTTGCAAGAGCTATCCAGGCTACGACGGCTGGCCATCATCGACGCAATGGAGTGCCTTGAACATCAGTCTTGGAGGCACATTGCTCAAGGGTATTCCACCTGCTGCTGCCTGCTATGAGGGCGAGTACAAGGATACCGCAAAGTGTTCAAACGTCAGGCGACGTCAAAGCGATGCTCTCTTCGCGTATGTAGTTGCAAACCTTACCCTCGGTTGAAAGCTGACTTATTTCATCTAGCAAGGAAGACCCACTGATACCGTTTGGGCAGTGGACTTTACATAATCCATGCCCCGTACCAGCAGCTAGCGCCACGCCTCCGCTGTCTGGCTGCAAACTCGTCAGCTTTCCTGCATTTGTCATCAATGCTACTACAGTCAAAGACGTGCAGCTGGCAGTCAACTTTGCCAGGAACAACAATATCCGCTTGACGATCAAGTACGTCCTCAGGAAAGATACCAGCCCCAAACTGACCATAGTAGAAATACCGGCCATGACTTCCTCGGCCGAAACACCGGCGGTGGCGCACTCCAGGTCTGGGTGCATCGCATGAAAGCATTCGAGTACTTACCGACGTACGAAGTTGGTCAATACAGTGGTCAAGCGGCCCGAGTTGGGGCAGCGCTAGAACAACATGAAGTCTACGACGCCATGAGTACATATGGCATAACGCTTCTAGCCCCAGGGTCTTCTACTGTTGGTGCTTATGGCGGTTACATGCAAGGCGGGGGATTTTCGTACATCACTTCAAAGTATGGCCTGATGGCAGACCAAATACTTGCTTTAGAGCTTGTCACTGCAGACGGCAGGTTCGTGCATGCAGATCCGATGGAGAACGCCGACCTGTTCTTCGCGATTAGAGGTGGCGGGCCTGGTAAGCTTCCAAAGTAACTACTACTATCTCCGATACTGACCTATATCCAAGGAAACTTTGGCATCGTCACATCTGCGATTGTGAAAGCGTATCCGCCTACGACAGTCGCACGAAGTGACTTCACATTCCAGACCGGCCCAGTGTCCAGTAACGACAATACCACCGTTCGCGTATCTAATGAAACCTTTTGGAAAGGTATAAAGGTCTATTTCTCGCACAATTTACGCATCAATGATGCCAAAGGTATCATGTCAAATTACATCACGACAACCGCTCGCACCTTCACTCTTTCCAACCAAATTACCATGCCGGGCGTCACCGTCGAAGAAATGAAAAAGCTCATGGCGCCGCTCATCAAAAATCTCAACGACGTTGGCATTTCACTAGTCAACCCCGAGCCAAAGTTCTGGAGCACATATGCAAAGTTCGGTACCCTGCCCGGCGGCCCAAGCGGCGGTACTAGTAACAGTCGTCTTGTGAGCCGGCTTGTTCCCCGATCCAACTTCGCAGACCCAACCTCGCAGACATTTAATACCACCATGGCAGCGATTCGCTCATTTGTGGAAGAAGGCGGTTACAGCTTCCACTCCGTCGACTACGCACCAACACTCGAAACAGCCGGCTATCCTGGCTCCGACTCTGCGGTCTCGCCGCACCTGCGCAACGCAGTCATGCACATGACCGGCTTCGATAGTCGGCAGTACGATGCTAGCCTCTCTGACGAGCTCTGGAAGTCATCGCATGCTCGCCTCGACTCGTACGTGCAAAAGCTCAGAGATGCGACGCCGCTCAGCGGTGCTTATATGAACGAGGCGGATGTTGCGGAGCCGAACTTTCAGTACAGTATGTATGGTGATAACTACGATAGGTTGCTGAAGATCAAGAAGGAAAGAGATCCTTGGGGGTTGTTCTATGCGGTTACGGGTGTGGGTAGCGAGAGTTGGTTCGTTGAAGGGACGGGAGGACTCCCTACTCAGCAGGGACGACTATGTAGGGTTGATGCATAGGGTACATGGGGTTGATAGCTTGCCAGATGTTGGTTTTCTACTGTTGTGCAATGCTTCTCTGATCTCCAATGCTGTCCGTCTGCCCGTAGTTAATGGGCTGGATACACACTTTTATGTCTCACCAAGTAGATAGCATGTAAGATGATGTTAACTTCTACTTCAACTTTTTCCTGTGATCTATATACAAGCAAGCGTTGTTGTATCAGTCGTTGCGCAGATTATGCGTGTCATATACCAGAAGATCCTTAACGCCCAGCAGTTGTGACTCTAGTAAAGCGTCTAGACTAGACCGATGACTTCCAGCGGCACTACCATACACTTTCCATGTTGTCCACTCGTTCAATCAAGTCGTCGATAAGCTTCTTCTCTTTCTTGTATGAGCGCATCATGCCCGTCCAGACTCTAGTGTCTTCCCTGAACTGGTGAATTCTACCCATCCAGTTCTCCAAATCGATTTGCTCGTAGTCCTCTAAAGGTCCCCGTACCGCAATGATGAAAGCGCGCGCAAAATCGATCATCGTGATACCAGTATAACAGAGAAGATAGTGGGCGTCAGAGTCGCCTGCCGGTAGGGAAATCGTGACAGTAAGTTCGGTGGCGGCAGGTGAGCTGATCTGGAGAGTCTTCCAGGGCTGTCTTGACTCATTGGTGCTCATTGCATTGACGAATGTCTCCAGGAACTCTCGAATATATGTGAAGTACTCACAGCCATCGAGGGAGTTGTCGCCCAGTGCAAAGATGATGTGTTTCTCGTAGCCTGTGAAGGCAGCCGACGCTTTCCCTCTCCACGACTGGCGCAGCAGCGGGTTCAACCGAGACATGTCAAGCAGCGACTCCCAGATACGCACGTCGTACTCACGATCCTGATAAAGCTCGCAACCTTCACGACCCACGTTCATCGTGAGAGGAATGGACTCCTTTGCATCGTCCAGTTTATTGAAATAATCGTAGATGCCCGACTTGTATTGCAATCGACGATCGAGTGGGTCACCGGCGAAGAGTGCACGAAGAGTAACCGGAGTTACCTTTGTCAGTCGACAAAGATCTTCAGTATCTCCATAATGGCGCCATTCTGCAAGTAGAGTTTTGCCCAAGTCCGGGAGATGCGATCCGAGAAACAAAAGACGGTCTGTGTCCTTTTCGCTTATCTCGTCGGCGACCAAGAAACACTTCTTCTTGATGGAGTTGGATCCCTGGATACACTCTTTCCAAAAGCTACAGACGGCCTGGGCGTTGTAGAGGATGTCGGCGGGTTCAAGGTTGATGAGTACGTATTCGAGCAATTCCGCGACGCCCAAAACGCGGGCGGGATCGCCGTGTGCGAGTGGAGGAGTAATCGTGTTGTCCATAGCGATCGTTATGAGCCTGCCGATGTTCGAAGGCGATCGGTCGATGAGGCGCGCAGTTTGTATTTCGGAAAGGAAATGGTCCAGTTGTGCGGCGTAAGCGTTTGTCGCAACGCCAAGACTGAGCACGAGCCAGCAAAGTGAAAGACAGCTCGCGAGACAAACCACGCGTGCAGTGAGACTGCTTGTACTAATCCAGACTTCGCTCAGGCTTGGCTCAAGTAGAAGTGACCGACTGGGTCCAGTAGTCTCGTGAGCTCGTTAGCCGCGGCGAGATCTTGTTGGGGGGCGTAGAGCGCGTTAGAACGCCCAGCAAATTCGAGCCGCTCGACGAAGTACATGGCGAGAAGTATCAGAAGATCGTCAACCAGTACACCAGTAGCGCGACGGAAGCTTTTGAAGCGATGGACAAAGTGTACCCGGGTAGAGCGGTTTGAGACCTCCCGGTGCATAACCAAGCTGATGGTGGTGAAAGCGGGATTCGAGAGCGTAGATTTGATCCAATTAGCGGTAGGGCTTCTCTGTACCTGGAACAATATCTCCTCGATCACTCGCGAGACTAGGGTAGAAGAGAGGCCCAATTTCGAAATGGGTAAGGGGTCCTCCATGAAGACTATTGCATGGGAGCCAAAGCCAGTCCAAAAGAAACCGTTTGAAATCCAAAGATTGCGGGCGATGAATGGGTGTATAGCTGATGGACGGACTTGGGTGATAGGCGCTTCCCAGTCCCAACTTCGACTTCCGTGTTTTAACCTTGGGAGCCGATCTTTGCCTGATGGAATCAAAGCTCTGCTGACCGCAGCTTGATCTATGTAGTAGGAGTCCGCAGGAACAAAACATCTGATGGCTGCGAGATTCAGAAAAATAAAAGGTCGGTATTTGTATCCAGGAATAAGGACTCCTCCGCGCCCCTCATGGGATCCATATGCGGGAAAGATATTGCTTAAGGGGAAGTAGAGCTTGCTATCGGCTTCATCTTCTTCGACTCGGTTGGCGTCAAGCAAGAAGATCTGTCTGAGAACAGACGATCTGTTGATGCAGTTATAGAAGGTACTAGACACCATCTGTTTGTTCGACAAAGCATCTGCCGGGCTGAGGTGTTGCAAAATATTCTCGAGAAGTTCCGCGATGCCCAGGGCGTGTTGAGTAGCGGTAAGCGTTGACGCCATCTTGACGGTGGTAACGTGTAGGTGATGAGCTATGCTCTCGACTTCTGTGAATTTTCGGACGAAGTGTCGAAAGCAGGTCGGCACAGGAATGAGAAATTGGGGGCCAGGAAGGAAATTTCAGCACGTTGTAACTGTGTCATCAGCGTACGGTGCGGGTGGCTTCCTCTCGCTACCAGGGAATGTCAACAGGTCTTTCAAACCCGCACAGCTCGCAAAGACGAGCATGCCGCGCGAAACATCGGTAGCGCAGCAACTCGCCGTGCGTTGAAAGCGGTACCGATATATTCCACATGGTGAGGCTGGGCAAGAACGCGCTGCACGAACGCGTAACGGTTGCGATCATCGCTCTAATCGATGCAACATCGTACATGCGCGTTAAATTCGCGATAAAGACGAGGCGATAATGATGGTATGTTATAGAGGAAGAGATGCGAAGGAGTAGTACGTTCGATCGCATCAAGGTGACGCGATGCACGCGTCTCAGGAATTAGCGCCGGAGTTTTGCCGATCTCCGAACGAAGCCACCAGCTGCGTGCCATCCCCTCCCACCTTCAACCCCCAGCAATGAGTCTACATCTGCTTCCATCCCCGATAGTCAAAACATGTATCATTCGGGATACCCAGATGGTCTCTCTGCTCTACCACCATCGATTACATCCATAATAGACCATCACAATGTACCGCAGTCTTACAACACCAGCATCACCGCCGTCATCACACCGGCCGCCCATCCCACCATCCTAGCACTGATATCAGCCCCAGCACTATCCCACGGCGTCTGTTCGTCCGCTACACGGCTTCCCTCCACTGTGTTGTTCGCGTTCATACACACGAACTCGACGCTGGTTTGCACCAGATTCGAATCTGGGTCAACAAATCGTCCCAGTAGGACGACTGGAATCGTCTGGCGCGTTAAGAGATCATACGTCTCATTCGCAGGGGCGTAGAAGTTATCGGACGGGCTGACGCCTGCATTTGTCCCGAACGTGTTGTAATTGTCTGGAATTTGCACCTCCTCGGGCATGTTGTTGTAGGCGCACGTGCTGTTGGTCACGTCTTGACGGACCGTGTCTGTGCGACCTTGTCAGCTATATGTACAAAGGCTGCAGCTTCCGAGCCGCAAGTCGATCGTATCTGTTCTGTGCAGGGGAAGGAAAAACAAAGTGCATATAGAAGGTTTGTACAGGGGCAAGGGAAGGAACGTACTGTGTGAGCCGCCACTCAACATTGGGCACGCCTTCTTGAACTCATCTGATACGGACGAAGTATCTTTACTAGGACAGTAATTCGAGGTACCAGAGGTATCACTAAGTGCCTTGTTCAGGTGGTCCATGCAGTCGGAGCTGATCACACCGCTACAGCTATTCTCCCCTCCGGCTTCTAACGTCGCATTGATGTTGCTCCACTGATACTTGCAGAGCTCGGTATTGTTGGGCACGTTTCCAGGTACGGAGATGTAAACATGTCCTCTGAGATCGTCATAGCGAGATCCGACGAGGACAGAGACATACCACGGGTCATCGCCGGCGTAGGAGGAGTTCCAAGTAAATTCGTGCTGGCCGGTTGAGTTCACGGCCGTGAATTCGTCGAAAAAGCCTCGACAGGAGGAGTTTTGCGCATGGACGACCGCTGTGGTGAGGAGTCCTGATATCGTAAGGAGCAGCAACTTTGGATTGTCATATGTCCACATATTGACGTAGCATAAGGGTAAAGCCGTAGACGTTTGATCGTTTGGACTTGCGAGAATGCATCTATATATACGTGGCGCGGTTAGGCACCCTATGGGAATGACGCACTAGCCAAGAGTGTGGTTAATACGGACGCGATCGACAGAGCTCGGCATGCCTTACCCGCCTAAACGAACATTGTGTGGCAGTAAATCCATGTCGCAATGAAGTTAACAATTTGCAGTTGACTGCGCTACGCCGGCGGAGAGCAGTGCCCGTAAGCGCTGAGGCCGACTCAATTCTGCGCTAACGGATACTCCGACGGCGCAGTAGTACTACAACAACAGGAAGATTTCCCCGCAACAATGCTATACATAAGGAACTACAATACATTGTTGTCTTATACTAGAAGGAGAACGACAACGACAGCAAGAAAAAGGAAGCTGTGCCTTCCATCAAAACCCAGCAATCAACCTGCTCCTTGCCATGCCGCCTACATCGCTCTTGCGCTTCGGCTTTTTCGGCAGGTCGTCAACAATGAAGTCGCCAAGTCCATCTTCATCCTCGTCATCGTCGTGCGCATCCTTCATGTCGTTGGGAATACTCATCTTGACGAACTTTCTATCGCCTGATGATGCCTTGTTGGTGCCAGTCTTTCTTGAGCGCGAAGATACCGCCGGTACATGCTTGGATTTGGCCTTCTTGGGGGCAGAAGCGCAACCGGAATCGATGTTGCCGCTTCTCTTTCGCTTCCGCTGCTCTTGCTCTTTGGCTTTAGCAGCCTTGTTCTCAGCCTGCTTCTTCTCCCATACCAGCTTCTCGGCTTTGACGCGCGCATCTCGTTTCGCCTTCTTATGCATCTCACGGGTCGCTTTTTGCTGCTTCGCCTCCGCTTCAGTTCGCTTGCGCTTCACCTCTTGGTTGTAGAGCTTTACTTCGCCCTGTGCAAAGTCGGCGGCTCTGAAGCGGCAACCAAGTACCTCCATTAGCTTGGCGTAGGCCTCGTCGTCGACGATCAAGATGTTTACGAGGTATGTCTTATCCCCGTTGTCGATCTCAAGCCCTCGAATCTGCGCTTCCTCGAGAAGCTCTTGTTGCTTCATTACCTCGTATGAGGATTTTGCTAGGCGCTTTGGCTCCCTCCATGGGTTATGCGCAACAGCCATGTACCGATCGATGGCTTGACGCTGTTGCGGGTGACGAGGGACTGCGCGCTGTCGAAGTGATGGTGTCGAAGTTGATGTAGTCTCCGCGACGGTACGCTTTCGCGCAGTCGCTGACCTGACCTGGGTTGTATTCTTAATAACGGAGGGTTCCACGCCGTTGATCTCTGCGATGAGCGATGTAAACATCTTGCTAGTGTGAAAGGTTAGCTGAGAAGGAGGAGTATTTGTTGTTACGGCGACTGGGTCGTTGAAAGTAATCCAAGAGGTTCAGAAGCGGTCAGTTGAAAAAGAGAGGCAAGCAGTCGGCGAAGAAGGAAGAGTCTGTATTCATTAGGGAGAAGTCTCACTCAGGTTAGTGGGTGCAGGTGATGTGATACCAAGTCTCTGGAAGTGAAAGTGAATGTACCACGTTCGGAGCGTGCGGCAGAGCACGGGAGAAGGGAAAGTGGGGAGATCATTTTCACAGTGTGGGTAATACTCTGGTCATCAACGGCATTGTAAGAGGTCTGGTAGTAATATTGGTTGAGTGAAGAGGACTTCGTTGGCGAAACTGTGGAACGACTACACCTACACCAATGGGCTTCCTGCGATGACGAACTGCAAAACAAGCGGTTCACCTTCAGGCCCCTGACCTTTCACCATCTCAGCACACCACCTGACCTCCCTCCTGTGGAGCGGCGACGAAGATTTCCATAGGTTCACCTTCATCCTCCTCCTCATACGCCCTACACTGGGCGATCCATGCCCTCCTGTCTCCCTCCTCATCCACCCTCCTCTGCTCCTTCCCCTCCTTCCACGCCTTCCTCTCCTCAGCCATGAGGCACACCAATCTGATCCTCAGTTTCCATTCACTCAAGCTCTTTTCCTCTCCCTCGTCGAGGTGTTCTCGTTTGAGGAGTTCATGCTGCATTTGCAGCTTCGTCATTTCGTTCCAGCGCGACAGGCGCGACAGTGTGGCGCCTTGATGGTAGTATAGTGTGTCTGCTAGATGGTGCAGACTC